TTTTAAATTATTAAAATCTAATATATTTTAATAAAAGTTAAATAAAAAATAAAAAAAATTTTAAAAAAAAAACCAATGAATAAGACGCTGTTGGAAAGAAAAGTCTCTGACAAGAAAATGGAAATGGGATTTGATTTAACGCTAAAAAATTTTAAAAAAAAAATTATCAAGCGATACGTACAAATTAGTAGTCAATAAAAACAGCTGGGTTTCGTTGACCAAAAAAAAATCAATGGACGAAATTAATAGGTACGTGAAAGTCTCATTTCAGTAGCTTTCTTAGAAATTCATCAACCACTGTATTTTTTTTCTTCCTCATCTCTGCTGAGTTTCCTCACAAACACTACCGATCTCTAGCCTTCTCTCTCTCAGGATTCTCTTGCTTCTAATTAAGCCTTTGAGATCTGATCTGGTAAGTGACTCCTCCATCTCTCTTGCTTTGTTTTTTGATTTTGGTTTTTTAAGAATTGGAACTTTCAATTCCACCAAAAAAAAAAAAAAAGAATTGGAACTTTCAATATTCCAATAACAATTTATGCTTGCATGTTATATCAATTGTTTGTTAAGTGAAACTGTTTTACTTGGATTGATTGATTAAGGAAAGTATGCTCGACATTGTTATTAGTAAAGATTCAGTTCCTTTGTTTAATTTCTTTTATTGTTTTTAAAGATTATATTATATTTATATGATCTTGCTTCCCTTTTCTCAGACTCCTAACATAAAACATTAATTTGACATATAGAGTTTGGTGTTTTGTAGTTTGAAGTGTAAAAATATTTAGTTTCTTAAGTCTTAAATGCTTATATTTTACTTCTTGTGGCCACCCATTCAGTCAGTATGTGTTTGAATCTCTCTCTTACAACACCACTCTGCTTTTCTCTTTCTCAGAATTCAGTTGTGTCTTTGGAATCTTTCTCTGCGTTCAAGCAAAATGGCTGAAATTGCCCTCACATTCCTTGGCCCTGTTCTAGAGGAAGCACTTTCCAGGTTGACTTCATTTGTTGCTAGTTTGCTCGAGAAAGCACGAGGTTTCGAGGGTGAGGTGATGAGACTTAAACATTTACTTGAGTTCATCCAGTCTGTGGTCGAAGATGCCGAGGCGAAACAAGAAAGTAATGGGTCTATAAGGCGTTGGTTAGAAGAACTCAAAGATCTAGCTTATGATGCGGTGGATGTACTTGAGGAGTACGATTATGATCGTCATCATCAGAAAGTTCAAACTCGAGGCATAAAGCAGAAAATGATGGCACTCACCTCTTTTACCTCCGGTTCTCGTATTGATGACAAAATTAAGGACATTAATGTGCGCTTTGATAAATTAAAAGAGCGTGCAGTTCCACTTAATCTAGCATCGAGATATCAGTGCCATCCAACTGCTAGGCAATATCCCAAGACAGACTCCTTTCTTGATAATTCAAAAGTTGTTGGAAGGGATGGTGATATCTTGGGAATTCTTAGCTTGTTGGACAACTTAAAGAGGGACCGTCCCATCGCCGGTATCTCTATAGTAGGCATGGCGGGCCTCGGGAAGACAACAATGGCAAGATCAATATACAAGAAGGCAAAGGAAGAAAAACTCTATGATCTTGTAGCGTGGGTGTGTGTCTCTGAGGACTTCAATGGCCAAGCAATCTTGGGGGAGATGTTAGAACACTTTAAGGATGGTGGTGCTTCAAGGAACAATATCAATGTACTGCTTCAAGATCTTGCCAAAGTGCTAGACAACAAGACTTTTCTTCTAATTCTTGATGATGTGTGGAATGAAGATCAGTCCAAGTGGGATGATTTCAGCTCTCGTCTCTCCAGAATTTTGAAGACAACTGGGAATTCTATTGTTGTAACAACTCGTAGTTTACAAGTAGCATCTGTGATGGAGAGACTTCCTATGCAAAACTATGAAATGCAGAAGCTATCAGATGGGGAATGTTGGTCGATAATTGAGGAGACAGTTCTCATATCATCTGCAGAAACTTCAATTTCTTTGGAACTCAAAGCTATTGGACAAGAAATTGCCAAACAGTGTGAGGGCTTGCCACTAGTTGCAGCAGTCATTGGAGGAACACTGAGCCATCAAATTGATACAGATAAGTGGTTGGCTATCAGAAATAATAATGCATGGAATTTAGATTCCCATGATAGAAATAAGATTTTATCCGTGCTAAAAATAAGTTTTGATCGTTTGCCTTCACATTTGAAAAGATGTTTTTCTTATTGATCAATATTTCCAAAGGATTTTGTCATTGAAAAAGATGATTTAGTTCAACTTTGGATGGCTCAAGGATTTCTGCACCAACCTAATGAGAGCTCAATGACAACGGAGGATGTTGGTAATGAGTGCTTTATTGATTTATTATCTAACTCCTTATTTCAAGATGTGAAAAAGGACGAATATGAGAATATCAAATCTTGCAAGATGCACGATGTAGTGCACGATTTGGCGTTATTTGTTTCGAAAGGTGATACTTTTGTATGGGAGACTGGTTGCAAAATTGACCAAAATGCTAAAATTCGACATTTGAGAGTTAAGCATGATAGAAATGAGTGTCTAATCATTCCAAGAGGAGTTGCTCAAAGGTTGCATTCTTTGTTCTTGGAAGAGGTTGATGTTTTGAATTCTAATGCTTCTGATCTCAAAAGCTTGCGAGCTTTAAAAATAGTTGGAGCTAAGGGGAAATGGTTGCCAGATGCTTTTAGCAGCATGAAACATTTGAAATACCTTGACATCTCAAAAAGCCAAAACATTAAAGCACTACCAAAATCCTTTTTCAAGCTCTACAATTTGCAGGCTTTTAGACTAATGCAGTTATTTGATCTGCAGATGCATGATGATATGAGAAATCTAATCAACTTAAGACATATTTGTTTTGATGGTCTCAGATGTATGCCAACAAGGAAGATTGGGAAGTTAACATCCCTTCAAACCCTATCAGTATTCTTTGTGGGCAAAGAAAAGGGATATAGTACAATTGCTGAACTTGGACCATTAAGTCAACTTGGAGGAAAATTGAAAATTTATGGCCTTGAGTCCGTGAAATCTAGAGCGGAAGCAACTAGAGCGAAGTTGGAAGAGAAGAAAAATGTGCATGAGTTAGAATTCAACAGGGGAAGAACTGAAATAGGCAACAACAATATTGATGACGAGGTTCTAGAAGGTCTTCAGCCTCACTCAAATTTGAGAAGCTTAAAAATTGATGGTTATAATGCAAAAAGGCTTCCATCATGGATGGAGAAGGGTATCAATTTATCTGATGATTCATTTCCACTCAAAAATTTGTTGAAATTGCAAATACATAATTGTTTTGAATGCACGGATATTTTCTGTTTGGGATTGTTACCTAGTCTCAAGATTCTTGATATTTCAATGGCAAAGGTAAAGCATATGGGTAGCAAGTGTTGTCTTAACAGAAACAAACTGGCGAGTAGTAGCTATGGTGGGGGAGAGTCAATCACATGGTTCCCTGCTTTAAAAACACTCACTATATGGTCCATGGGAAGCCTAGAGGAGTGGGTAGAAATAGAAGGTGTGGTTGTGTTTCCTTGCCTAGAGACGTTGTTTATTTGGAGTTGTCCTATGTTGAGGACTTGGTCGATCAATGAATTTTCAACTCACCACAAGCTCTCTGAGCTACGGATAAGCTTGTGTCCGAATCTGGTGACTCTTACAAACATGGATGACCTGCTCTCTCTTAAAACATTATCAATTTGTAGTTGTGAAAAACTAATTAGTCTGCCACGTGGGCTGGGATCTTGCATTTCTCTTCAGAGGTTGGATATTTGGAACTGCCCCAATCTAATTTCTATTGCAGAAGATATCAGAAGATTGCATTCCCTTACTTCTTTGACTATTCTTCATTGCGGAAGTCTAAGGAGCATTTCAGAGGAGTGCCTTGGTTGCTTCACTAGCTTGAAGGAGTTGGAAATGGGTCCTTTCTGGTCAGAGTTGGAGGAATTCCCTGGGCTTAGTTCCATCCATCACCTTCACGCCTCCCTTGAAGTTTTAGAAATACGTGGATGGAATAAATTAAAGTCTGTTCCACATCAACTTCAACATCTCACTGCCCTTAAGAAATTGAAGATGTATGGATTCAATGAGGAAGCTTTGCCTGAGTGGTTGGGAGACCTGTCTTCTCTTGCTTCCTTGAGCATTCAGTCATTCAACAAATTGAAGTGCTTAGGCAGGCTCACCTATTTGAAGCAGTTGGAAATGGGTCCTTTTTGCCAGGAATTGGAGGAGTTTCCATTCCCAGAACTCAGTTCTGTTGCCTCCCTTGAAAGGCTATCATTGCGTGGATGGGATAAACTAAAGTCTCTGCCTCATCAGCTTCAACATCTTACTGCGCTCAAGCAGTTGGCAATAATCAGATTCAGCGGTGTGGAAGCTTTGCCAGAGTGGTTGGGAAACCTCACATCTCTTCAACAGCTTGGAATTTATTATTGCCCTAATCTAACTCATCTTCCTGTTGAAGCCATGCGAGGCCTCTCCAACTTACATTCTATTCGTGTTCGCTCTTGTTCCAAATTAAAGGAAAGATGCGAAAGAGAGATTGGCCCTGAATGGCAGGATATTATTAGCTTTAACTGGGGTTTCGCTGATGGAATTGGTGGTATGGTAATTCCACCAGAGTTGAAACCCTACGAGAGTGTGTTTGGGGACACTGCAGGAATTTGATGTATCTGCCTTCTGTTGAAGCCTGCTGCAGATCGAACTTACAATTCCATGACATTTTGGCATTAATTGAAGGAAAGGTGGTGCTCAGAGTGATAAAGCTGTGATTTTTCAGATATTTATTGTGTTTGCCATACTCTTGCTTGGTGATTTCAGTTTGATGATAAAGTAACTGTTGAGCTGTAAGAAGACATTGAATTGCAAATAATACGCTTCTCAATTTGAACTTGCTCCTATCCCTTCCGTTTCATTCTATTCATTGCTGTTTCTAGATTTCACTAAAGTTGGAATTTGACAAATTAAGTTGCTTCTTTCTGGATTTTCTGATTTTAATTTTTTGTTTTATCTTAGTTGACTGTATAGTTGGCAATAATGTTGCAAATCTTCTGATGTTCTTATCTGCCCTGGGTTTTATTGACTTCTGAAAAATAAAAAAAAATTCTTCTCTTGAGTATTCCCTTGTAAATACAATTCTCCAGTTCCTTATCTACTAAGTTAATTTGATTTCAGCAATAATGCTTGACCGTGTTAGTGTGGGATTTTTCTGCATTATGATACTCTTCGTGGTAGAAGCTTTGTTCCTGGGGTTCTTCTCTTTGCATACTTAGATGGCCATATTGAATGCTTAATCATTGAGTAAATTTTTTCTCAATGAAGTTCATGTTGTTTGATTTGCATCCATATGATTAATAAGCAGCAATGCATCAATTAAAGGCGTTGCTTCGTTTAGGAAGGCTCCTTGACTTGTTATGGTTTACTAAAAAAGTAGCTTCCTTTCTTGCAGGCCTTGTTTGCTGGAATTTTACTTTTATACTCACTGTAAACAAAAACATCAGAACTTCATCAAATCCTCCGAGTAACTTGGAAAAGAACCAAGGGAACCATGCTGACAGACTATCAATCACACCATCATATCAGAAGAGGGAGCGTTGGAACATGTTCCCATGGCTACCCAGATGATGATAGCCTGTAGCAGTGAAAATGCTATCTCAATCATCTGGTTAGGAGTATGAGGAATTTCATGGAGATGTCTTCACCTTTGACCTCTAAAGTACTCTGTGGCTCCAATAAATTTAGATTTCAACTTCTTATGATGGTTCATCTTGCAAACTATTGACAACTTTTGTTGGTATTGCAGTGAAGGAGGCAACCACTATGAGAATTGTGCATGTGGGCACAACACAAGGCTTACATCCAACCTAAAACCAATTGAAAGTGGAGTAGTTTTCCTTGTATTTAACCCACAAGCTCCTTATTTTTATACTCAATGTAAGATTTTCCCATTTAACAAGCCCTTTCACGTGCAGGTATGCTATGACGGGTCTTGTCACATGGGTTAACATGCACGATTTTTCAACAACGGGACTCATCTATGTGTATATGGCTAATCAGGACTGAAAATAGCATTTTCAGGTTCTTTGAAATACTTCAATCCAATTATATTATTTTTAATATTTACAAACAGAAGGTATATAGTTATTTGAGAAAAAAAAAATGAAGTTATATGGTCAACTGTTGTTTGAATGCTTATAAGAAATTATCTAATTCTGTTTTTGAGCTGAGAAGAGAGGCTTCATATAGCTAAGGATGTGCAGCACGAGAGTTAAAAACTTAGCATGGAGGAAGTCTGATTTCTTACATATTCATGAGACCTTTCTACTCGTGGTAACTAGTAGAATTGATATGTATGGAGCTTGAAAATCAGAATGGAGGGGCTGGTGGAGTATGTGTGTGTACCACAAATCATAAGAAAAATGTAAGTGTTTTCCACATATATATGTTGTCTAGGAGAATTTAATTTTCATATTAGGTATTATATTAAAGCCTCCTTTAGCTTTTGTTTCAAATCAGGTGACCAGAGCTCTCACCAATTGTAAACTAAAGATGCATGAAATGGCAGATTACATGAACTCATTGATGGGGTGGAAGCCTGGTAAAGAATGATAACCAAAGATTTTATTTTTAAGTTTTGTGTTTGCAATAATTTGGCTTTTGGATTTTAGATAGGATTTATTTCTTCTCTAATTGATTTCTCTATGCAGGTCTTTGGCAAAGAGCTTCACCAAATCCTTCAATCAACTTGGAAGAAGGCTTTGAGAATTGAGATATTGGTACTACTTGCAATGGAGACAGTATCCACACAGGACTTGCCTATGAGTACATGGCTAATGGTAACTCTAAATAGCATTTATCAGGTCCTTTGAAAAAAACAGTCATATTTATTATGATTCTATGAACCTTTATAAACTTAAACTGAAGTTATGCAGTTAATTTTTTTTTTTTTTTTCAGCAAGTTATGTAGTCAACTGTTGCATGAATGCAGATAAGAAATGATCTAATTCTGATGTAGGGTGCAAACTGCAGGGGCTTCTAATGGCAAAGAATCCTGCATGGAATTGGAGGATTTCAGAAGTCTTTTATATTGACGACCTTGTCTACTTCTGGCAACAACTAGCTGAACTGTTATATGGAAGATCTAAAATAGAGGGCTATTGGAGTAGCTGCGTCATGGAATCATAAGGAATGGATAAGTGTCTTCGGCTTAATTTTGCATGTTTGCCAGAAAAATTTCAGTTTGCATTAGATACTATTTTCAAGCTTTCTTTAGCTTTCGTTTTGGAAACCAAATTAATTTACAATTGAAGTGGTGTAAGTGCTTTCCTATTTTCATAATTCTTCTGCAACATAGCTCACACCGAGTATACGCTAAAGGTGCATGAGGGAGAGAAAATAGAGGATTGCATACAATCTTATGCATACAGGTTTTGTTTTTAATGTATGTGTGTGATAATTTGGCTTAATTTTAAATTTTTGGATATGATTTATTCTTCTCTAATTGGTTTCTTACTCAGGTTGATGCCAAAGAACCGTCTCTTGCTATGAATCCAGACTTCATTTGTCTCCATATAATTGGTAAGTAGCAATGCATCAATTGTAGGCGTGCTTCATGTATAGAATGATTCCTTGAAAGGATATGGGGTTACTAACAAAGTAGCTACCTTTATTGCAGGCCTTGTTTACTGGAATGTTGCTCTTATTGCAAACAAAAACAACAGGACCTCAGCAAATCCTTTGATTAACTTGGCAAAACTCTTTGAGATATTGGCACAATCCAGGGGAACCACATGACCATCACCGAACCGGGAGTGTTAATGTCATGGAGTCAAATTACAAAGATTTGATGCGATCAAACATCAATCACACTATTGGTCGGATGAGACGAGGTTCATGGGCTCAAGTGAGATAAAATTTTCCTACCTAGTAGCAAGTTCATAATTTGATGTTTTAGGAGTTCTGCCTTGACTTCAGTTTTGAAAACTGAAGTGAAATCCATTCTTACATAGACTTTTGAGGTCAGAGAGTCGAGTCAATTCAGGTTTCCGAAGTGGATCATCTTTTGCACCAGCTTCAGCAAACACAGTTCCAAGAATTTCAAGGATTTCCTCACTAGTTATAAAGGACTTCAGTTTATCGAATCACATACTCCTAGTGAGTGGAGAGGTTGGATGTAACTCGGAAGTCCTAGAAAACTCATAAACCATCTAATTCTTCTTTATTACAGTAGATTGGACCCTCTCCTTCGCCTGTAGGTGTAAGTACACATTATACCATACCACAAAAACCTTGTGTCTACCTCTTATTCCTTATCCCTTTTCTTCACTATTGATTTTAATTATAAGTGTATTCTTATTCTTTGTGAACCAATTGCCAAGTTAATAGACACTGAAATTAATATTAATTTTTATATTTTTTTAATATTAAATTAATGTTAAAAATCTGTATTAATTAAAATATACATTAAATACATCATTAATATGTATTTTTTTTATGTATCTGAATGAGTTATATAAAAAAATAATATTTTTATTTTCTTAAATCATTTCTTATTTAACTCAAAATTTGAATTTGATATTTTCAACTTAAAATATCAAACTCTTAACTAATAAATCAACTCATTAAAATTATTATTAACATGTATTTTAATAATACAAGATAAAAACTCCAAATTTTATTGTACTCTACTTTCTATTTCCCTAAAAAAAACAATAAGATATCTCCTCATTTCAATGTCCAAAGTTCAAACTTCCAACTAGCTGCTTGCTTCAGTTCAATATTCCATGCACCAAAACACATGTACTTTTAATTTTCAAGGGATTGTCGGTTTGAATCCCATAACCGTAGGGACCCATATGTCCCTGCGGTTGGCCGATATGTTCTCACCTCCACTATACACACACTGTACAGCTGCTCCTTTTTTTCATAATGTATGCTGCACATACAAGAAGCAAAGAGAAAAAACAGTGGGGGCGCCCTAACGTTTTCTTGGTCAACCATTCTCATTTCCCCTTCAAAATTTTTTATTGTAGCACTTTGTCTCTTGATGAGATCTAGATATTCTACATTAGGAAGAAGGGGTGCCGTTTTGGGGGGTAGAGTATTGCAGCAATCTAAAGCTTAGATTTTTTTCTTTTGAACAAGTTGTCAAGGGGCCGGCTTCCATAAGGGAGGGGGGAATGCGCTTTAAGCTAGCAAGTTGTCAGTTAACTCGAAGGGTCAGGTGCAATCTAAAACTTAGATTGACAATGTTATCTTGTGTTATTTTGAAATTATAATTATTAGAAATGTTATGTTATACTATTATAAAAAATATTTTAATGTTTCATAATTATATTTTAAAAAGGTTATTTATTATAAAATTATTTAATCAGAAACATTATTATTTAAAATTAAATTAATTAATAATTTAATATATAAAGTATGAAATTTTTTTGAGAATCTTATTAACATATTTAAGAATTCTATTAATTTTGAATAAAATAGTTATTGTATTTCTTTTCAAAAAAATAATGATAAATAATTTACTAAACACATAAATTACGAAAAATAATATATATGCAAAAAAATACTATAAACAACGTTATCAAATAAAGTCTAAATAATTAAAACTACTAATTTATTTATATTTATATTAATTTATAATTTTTTAAATAATTAATATGATATTTAAAAATACTTATTCATAAATTAATTTTAATTTATTAAATAATAAATATTAATTATTTTATCTATTATCAATTAAAATTTTTAATAAAAATTAAGATAAATATCTAATAATTATTAGTAACCTTAATAAATTAAATGATGAACACAACCATACCCATAAAAATCACTACTTTTCACTCTACTTTTCACTTGATTCCTATACAAGTTTTTTCGATTTTTTTGTCTATTTAACATTGATTCTTACAGACCCACATGTCTGGCTTTGGTTAATGTATGAATTAAATAGCTTAGGCAAATCCACCTAATACTAAATTTGAAGTTCGAAAACTATTTCACTCACCTAGGAAGTTTAAAAACATGTGCCCTTAAACACAGCTCGTTGGGCTGGGCTTAAAGGAGGGAGCCATGGACAAAGCATGTACCAAGTTACTTTAGAAGATGAGAAGCCCATTGGGCCGAGGACACTAATATATATATATTTTTTGGGAATAGTCCTAAATAAACATTCATTTTGTTTATTATTATTATTATTATTATTATTATTATTATTATTATTATTATTATTATTATTATTCGAAAGGCAATTAACATTCATTAAGGGGAATAGAGAGTACGGCTAAGGCAAAATAAATAAATAAATAGATAGACAGGACAGAGGAGAGGGTAAGTGGGAAAGAAAGTGGACTTCTCTATACATTTTTCTACACAGAAAAGAAAAAATTAGGATATCACTCTACTAAAAATATTAGAAATCAATAGTTATATGATAGATGAAATTTTGTCGGAGTTTACTTTACATACTTATATCTCATTTATGTAGTAATTGTAATTAAATCTTTCGATATTTTAATTTTTCATTTTCTTTTTATATATATAATGATTTTTCTAATATATAGTCTTAATATACAAGTTACAAGTATAATTAATATATTTTTTTATAATTAATTCATATTAAAAATGTAAATTTTAATTTTAATTTAATCAATTAATCAATTAAAACTATCTAATAATGTTAAAATAAAGATTAAATTTTAT